CTCTCTCTCTCTCTCTCTCTCTCTCTCTCTCTCTCTCTCTCTCTCTCTCTCTCTCTCTCTCAGTCTACCTCCCCCTCTTCCTCCCCTACACAAACCCGTACGCACAGATACATGTATACTCGCACGTACACATTCCAGCACATACTCAATTCCCTCCCGTTTGCGCTCACAAACCCACGTTTCCGGGGATGTTTCTTGATGAAGAGGCGAGTAGCAGCAATAGAGGGGGATGTTTTGGGGAGGCGAATAAGTTAGCAGGAAATCCCCTCCCTCCCTCCCCTGTTTCTCCCCCCTTTCTGCTGGTCCAGCTTAGTACCGGGGCAGGCTGTTGCTGCAAGGAATTTCCGGAAACGCGCAGCGCGGGCGTGTGCCGGCTGGGCTGCTGCATCGCAAACAATGGCGGCACACTTCCGGCTCCTCCAACGTCGTTGTAATCTTCCATGCCGGAAACGCCCCGCAAACGGAGTTAATAATTATTACGCGCGGGCCGTATGTATAACGCGTATTGTAGTCCTCCGAGCCTTGCGGATGGGGACTGTTTCCCCGGCAATATGCGGACCCGGACATGTGTTTGTTTGCGAATGTTTTGTCTATTTTTTCATCCTTTCCTGTGACGACATGCTCTCTCCATAGAGGTGCGAATTGGGGTTGGATTGAACCACATTGCGGTGGGTTAACGGAGTTCCTCAAACACCCAGAAGTCCGTTTAGTCCAGAGAACCAAATTTAAAACCGACGAAATTTTAGCTCTAGAGACCAAAACTTATTCGTGGCGATGAAATAATTTAGTCCAGGTGACCTAATTTGTTTGGTGCGATTGTATTTTATTAAAAATTGGGTTACTAAATTTTAGTCCGTTTTAGGAACTAAATTTTGTTTTTACTGTACAGTACGTGTGGCCGGCTAGACCCCTAAAAGCCCCAACACAACATTTCAAACGAATGAGGCACGATTCACATTAAAACGAATGTGACGTCACATTCGTTGAAGAACAGTGGAAGTGGTAGAACATTAGTGTTACTCTGATGAGAATCTTTAATTTGCCGAGGGTCATGGGTGGTTTTGAGCGTGCGGCGCTTGGAGCAGCAAAAGGGTCTTTCATTAGAGCGTCACATCGCAAAGACAATCACAGGTTTGTCAACATTTCATGGCATTTCCTTGTTCTCTCTGTGTTGCAGCTCCGCACGATCCGGAACGTCCGCTCATCCTCGCCGCGCTTCGGCGAGTCGCATCACCCTCACTACCCCCACCACTACCCCCACCACCCCCACCACCACCACAACCGCGCCACCCCGGCGAGCCGGCGGCGTCGCGACTCGCGCGCCGCCTACCGCCGGGCCAACTCGGAGGACGCGTGCTCGGACATCCTCGGCGAGGACGACGACGACGACCCCCTCGACTCCACCGTACTCGACGTCGGGGAGGTCGCGGCCGGCGCGGCCCCCGCCGACGTGGGACATGGCGAGCGACATCGCGGCTCTGTCCATTCTGCTTCTGGCGCCTCTGGGTCCGGTCAGTATCAGGCGGCTGTTGTCGGGAGCATCCGGGGTGTGCGGAACACAACATACCACCACCCCGCCTAGAAAAAAAAAATGGATGAAAAAGATGACAAAGTTATCTCTGAGCGCTTACGGCTGGGCAAGTTCGTTTCGGGGTTTATCCCTCTCCTCCCTACCCACCACCGCCCCACACACCACCCACCCCCGACCCGTGGCCCCCCCCTCCTCGCTGAGCCAAGTGTGTTCCTCTTAATGAATTCTTTAGCACCTGGACGTGTCCCTACTCTCTGGCCTCGAGCCCAGCCCCCCCCCCCCCAATCTCACCCTCTCCAGCTGAGCTGCTTTGGCTCCGAGCCGAAGTCCATATACCAGACTCCAGAGGGCGGTCCTGAGGGGAAATAAAAAATGATTTGGTCGGCCCTGGTCTGGGGTGGTGGTGGTGAGGGGAGTGGATTAGGCCGTAGAGGGGAGGGGGAGATCGGATCAGAGGAAACAAGGGCGGCGTCAGATACACCCACACACTGTGCTCGTGTGATGGATACATTTTTCAAAACACTTCCGTTGTTTTGATGTCGGGTCGTAACCTCAAGGCAACCACTCAGCGGAGTTAAACATGATGCGACCTTATGTCAGTATAAAATCAAGAGGGAAGTTTTCAATTTCACTCCCACTATCCACGAAAATCCTAGAGCCAATAAAATTTTGAGTGTGACTTTTCGTTGTTTCTTTTGTGAGTAATTTTTGATCCTGCGCCACAAACGGGCAAGGTCCTGGGCCTGGGTACAGGTTGGTACGTTGCGTACCTGGTGTGAAATTATTCCCTACAAGTTTTGACTTCATTTATTTGGAGCAGAGTTAGGATAGATTGTGCCTTGCGCTTCACGTCCAGAGCGCCCTACGAAGGGCGGGTAGGCCACCCGGAAGGCACGCCTGCGCGGCGGGACTGCATAGCGACCCCACTGCAGGCGATCTCGCCTGACCGTGCGCTTGAGCTACGCCGCGCCGTGCCCACCGAGAGCAAAGCGGCAGTGCACCCTATGGCCCATGCAACCTAAAAAGGAACAAACAAAACTAACTTTTTGTTCCTAGAACGGTGACAAATTTGAATATTGTATGGATGTGCTCAAAAATGTCACCTTTGCAGGGGCTAATTCGTCAAACATTACCCCTTTGTTGGTAAAACATTAATTATTTTTAGTAGCAAAAGTAATTTAGTCACCCAGTGAGTAAATAAATTTATCTCAACTCAGGCCATTGTTCCTACAAATGTGTTCGATGTTCGATTTCTCTGCACTTTTCAACAGCCGGGATTCTAAAAGTAATTTTCTTCAGATTCGACCAAAACAATGGGAGGAGTGGACATCAACCCTCTAACTTTACAAAAAACTTGTATTTTGCCAAAATACAAGTGTTTTTTTTTTTTTAATGAACAGTCATTAATCCTTTTGTTTAAGTTTGTTCTTAACTTCTTCACCCGCGTCTCCACAGGGCCCGCAGGCGGCAGTGGCGGCCGCGGTCACAAGGCACGAGCGGCGGACGCGGCGGACGCGGCTGGGGCCGCGGGCGGCGCACCGAGACACTCCAAGAGCAAGCCGCAGGGGGTGCCCGACCCCTACTACCCCATCTACCTCCCCATCGACCAGGCCTTCAAGGCCAAGTACGTGTTCCACCACAAGAGGGGCAAGAGCTTCCAGGAGCGGGTCTACGTGTTCCTCGAGCACCCCGGCGGATGGATCTGCTTCTTCTACCACTTCTCCGTGTGAGTACCCAAAACGACGTGCCCAGCCCTTCCTTCCGAGCAGCTGCTGCGGGCTGACTGCAGCTAACAGCTCGAGCATCGACACAGAAACAAATTAAACAACAAAACCAGAACACGCCAGTGCTTTTGATGTGGCGTTTCAATGTCGTGAAGAAATGGTTTGAACTATCGAGCGATCATGGTTACCCACCGTGCGAAATAAGAAATACAACTTTGCATCACCTCAAACTTTGGGCCGTAGGGAGGGATCATTCTTTTGCCCATGCAGAAAAAATGAATGAAAACTTTCACAAACACTGTGAAAAATATCGTCGTAAATTTCCAAATTTTTTGTAAACTACAAGTATAATTGGCTGATTGGCTGAGCGATTAGCGAAGCCTATTACTCCGTCTGGTCGGAAAAAACTTTGTCTGTCTGTCTGTGTGTCTGTCTGTCTGTGTGTCTGTCTGTCTGTGTATCTGTCCGCACGAAAACTCGAAAACAAAGTGCGCGAGCGACCTGGGATTTTCAGGGTCGTTTTGTGTCATAAAAAGACAGATCGAGTTCGAAGATGAGCATTCTAGCTCAAAAATTGGATTTTTAAAAAATCAAAAACAAAAGGTCCCAAAAATGACGTTTTTTAAAAATATTTTTTTATTGTTTCCTATGGGGTAACTCATCAAAGTAGCGCCCTTTGGGCGTCAAGCGTCAGCGCCAGACTCAGATGACGGGTGTCAACTCAGAGGTTGTATACATGAAGAGCGGATCGCGAGGGCGCCGGTCCCGCGCTGCGGTTCGCGGTGGCGCAGGCAGTCCCGCCCCTCCGAAGCGCCCCGGGATGCGAGGTCTGGCCACGCCACGCCACGCCACGCCACGCCGCGGCAGTCCGTGACACGGATGGATACAACCTCGGCTCCCGCCCGCCCCGCGCACCCACCTCCTCCTTAGATCGTTGTCAACAAGTTGGCAAACCCGCGCGCGCGCCAGTGTGGGGAAGGGGGGTGGGGGCATGGGGCAGTGGTGAGGGTGTTGATGGGGAGCTTGTAGGGGGGGGGGAGGGAGGCGGGATCACTTCGCTAGCGGCAGATACCGCAAGTGGATGCTTGGCGCCCCTAACCCCTCCTGTGCGGCTATGAGGCGGTTGGGGTGTTAGCAGTAGGAAGAGCACCGTGAAACCCAGTGGAATGCTCTGCGTAAAGCAATGCGCTTTCCACCTCAAGAAATGTGTTTGTAATGCGAGCAACTTAAGCTCGGAATCAAATTTGGTAGCAATGTGCGGGAGGCTTTGAAACGCTGCAAAGGAAGTCGTTGGAAAGGTGGAAAGGGTGCGCAATAGGGTTCGGAGAGAGAGAGAGAGAGGGAGGGGGTCACCCTCTCCAGCTGAGCTGCTTTGGCTCCGAGC